GTGGGAAGCGGGGGTCTGGCGGTGGCGGCTCGTGTGCCAGCCGGGCTCGGTTGGGCTGCACGTGTGGCCAGGCAACATCTTGGGCCGCTGTGAAATGGGGTTGGCAAAGGGCTGTGCCTCCCTCACCTGCCTGCCTCCGTCTCCAGTCTGCCCAAACCATGCCACACCTCGCACCCCAGTGCTCTCCTGCAGGTCCAGTGGTCTGTTCCCACCTCTGCCAGCTGTGGGGTCACCTCTCCCCCATGATGACCAGGAGTTTCCCCCTGTCCTTCCTGGCAGCTGCCAGGTCTCGGGCAAGTTCACAGAGGCTGGACATGCCTGGTGGTCGTTCCTCCTCCCGCATCACCCCGTGGCTGTGCCGCTTCCTTGCAGATCTCCGACATCTACATCAGTGGGGAGTCAGGGGATATGTCGGCCAAGGAGAAGCTGCTTCTGTGGACACAGAAGGTGACGGCGGGCTACATCGGGGTGAAGTGCACCAACTTCTCATCATGCTGGAGCGATGGGAAGATGTTCAACGCGCTCATCCACAGATACAGGTAGGCAGGAAGAAGCAGTGAAGTACATTGTCTGGGTGGGAGGAAGGGCTGGGGATCTCCTGGGGGTCCCCACCCACCACTGCGGTTGATGAATGCTTGGAGATGTAGGTGAGGCTTGCAGGGAGCAAGTGTCTTTTACCTGGAAATCATCTCTTCTACCAGGTAGCTGGGGGGGGCGATGCTTAGAAAGAGCAACAAATACATCAAGTTGCAAGAAAAAACATCTTGAATGAGACTGGGGAGGCAAAAAAGAAAAGCTTTTAAACTGGGAGTGCTGCAGGTTTTGTGTGTTAGTGCTGCCCTTTCTGCTCCCCATGAATAGCAGCACTTCCATCCGCACTTTCATCCAAGGATCTTGGAGCTCTCAAGCAGCAATTAAACCTCTCTCAGTTCCTTGAGAGACAACATAGCCCTACACACCTTCTGCCTGCTCAGCATAGGCAGCAGGTCAGAGCTGGGGCCAGCAGGGCCGGCCTCTACCCTGGCTGCTTGGTCAAGGGGACTTGGCACGGCCTTGAGAGCCTGCAGGAGAATCTCAAAGGCATCATGAGAAAGCATCTCCTGGTAGCTCGAAATAGCACTGCCCGCCTGCACTGCTCTGAGCTCGCTTGTGGCTGGGAGGAGCAGGCAGGGTTTAGCAGGGAAGGGCAGGCAAGGCTCCTGCAGACAGGAGATGGCGTACGTGGTGGGCAGCAGGCTCCTGGTGCACAGAGGCTGGGATTTTCTCAGCTCCCCTGAGCTCGTTTGCGGTTCGTTGTGCGCTGCAGTTTGCTGGTGGTGTTCTGTTCCCAGCACAGGACTGGCACCCCTGCCTGCCCCCTCCCTGCCACTCTGCTGCAGAAAAAGGTCTCTGCCTGCCTCCTCCTGAGAGGTGTGACCACCCCGCTTTGGGGCTGTTTTGTGCACCTCCTTCCAGGGAGGGCTTGCAGTCCCGGGCTGGGATGCTGGATACAGAGCGGGTGCTGGAAAGGGCAGGTCCCAGAGGAGCACAGGAGGTTTTCCTTCACAGCCTGAACATCCCCTTCCCAAAGTGGATGAATTGGGGAGGTGCTGCAGCCCAGGTCCCCTTGGAGAGCCGCCAGCCTGGGATGGGGGTTCAGATGAGCCCTCGGGAGCCGCCTGAGGCAGCAGCGCCCGTCTGGGATGCTCTGCCCTGGGCACTTTGCGCTGTTGGCCAGCGTCATGACTCTGGTGCGTGTCTCGCAGGCCAGATCTGGTGGACATGGAGAGGGTGCAGATCCAGAGTAACCGGGAGAACCTGGAGCAGGCCTTCGAGATCGCTGAGCGGCTGGGGGTCACGCGGCTGCTGGATGCTGAAGGTGGGCAGCCGGGACAGGCAGCTGGCTCGGGGAGATGCCAACCTCTCTGCTTGCTCCCATCCCTCACCGTGTTTCTGCTTCTGCCTTGTCAGACGTGGATGTCCCCTCTCCGGATGAGAAATCTGTGATAACTTATGTGTCTTCAATCTACGATGCCTTTCCCAAAGTCCCCGAGGGAGGAGAAGGGATCAGCGCTATCGTAAGCATCGCTGCGGGTTGGGAGGCTGGGACAGTGATTTGGGAGGCAGCTGGTGGTTGTGGGAAGGATTTGGAGGTTCCTGGTCTCCCGAAGCAGATGGCCGATGGGTGGAAGAGGCTTGGGAGGAGGAAGGAGCTTCCCCATTAGAGTGTCTGCCCTGTGAACTGCCAGCGTGCCTGTAGTGCCGTGGCGTTCTGCAGGTTCTGCCATGGGTTTTGAGCTCACAGGAAAGCTGAGCTGGCTCCCAGGGAGCAGCTTGCAAGGAGGATCCTCCTCCTTCTCCTTCCTCTATCTGGGATGGTATCACAGCAGGGAGGCACAGGCAGATGATCTGCCTCATAGCAGTGACCGCGGTACCTCGGTTCCCTCCGTGCTCTGCTCAGCAGGGCCGGGCTCTGCCTCTCCCCCACGGAGACCTGCCCGCTGGCAGTGCTCTGCAACGGCACTCTCGTCCTTGCAGGAGGTGGATTCAAGGTGGCTGGAGTACCAGAGCCGTGTGGAGTCCCTCATCTCGTGGATCAAGCAGCACACGATACTCATGTCAGATAAATCCTTCCCCCAGAACCCTGTAGAGCTAAAGGTAGGTCCTGGACAATGTCCATCCACCATGTCCCATGTGCTCAGCACTGAGAGCTGGGTGGTGGCATTCCTCGGGGTGGTTTCTGATGAGCCTTTCTCATCCCAGGCACTTTATAACCAGTACATACACTTCAAAGAAACTGAAATCCCAGCAAAAGAGCAGGAAAAAGGAAGGATAGAGGAGCTCTACAAACTGTTAGAGGTAAATACCATCGTGGCTACCCGGAGGCTTGTAGGTGGGAGTGTTGTGCTTTTAGCAAGACTAAAGTGTGCTCAGTTCGGGTTTATTTTGGAATGGAAAAGTGGAAATAACCCTCAGGGTAAATGGTGTGCAGGAGCGGAGGCAGAGCTGTTGCCTCGTAGCCCCACTTTCCTTGCTGTAATTTCTCTCTAGCCAGCTCGAGGAGGAGGTAGGAAATGCCATTCTGTGGATGTTTTTCCCAGGTATGGATTGAATTTGGACGCATCAAGTTGCCCCAGGGGTACCACCCCAACGACGTGGAGGAGGAGTGGGGCAAGCTCATCATAGAGATGCTGGAGCGCGAGAAGCTCCTGCGGCCGGCGGTGGAGAGGTCGGTGCTCTGCCCAAGGCAGGCGGAGTCCCCGGGG